TGTGGAGTTCATATATATTTTAAATTCACATACGCAGTGTAATTGCTTTACCATTTTAAACATAAAAGGCTGTCAGCAGCTGGAGTTTGTGAAAATACACAATGCAAGAGAAATGGTCTTGGAAATTAATGAATCAAATTTCAAAGATTTTAGTTTATAAGCATATTTCTCAGGATTTCCAAACAATAGATAAATACTTGAATTGTCATTTTCTCCCCTAGGGATTTTGGTACATTTTTTAAAAAATAACAAAACCAGCAAAATAAAACAAACAAAAAAAAAGAAGCTGTAAGGCATTAACTTGGAGACTGAAGGCTTTAAAGTTAGCACTTGGAGCACATTTGAAAGATGTGGTTTGACACGATGAACTTTTGGGTGTAGGCCATACACACAGATGGCTGTCCTTTTGCAGATGTTGGGAGACTCTGTCCCTGTTGTTTACCACAGTCTCCAACACTAATGTTTAATAAGTTTCTTACCTCCTACTTAAAAGATCAGGAGAAAGGAGGCAATCTGCTGGTTTGTAAAGACTCATAAATATCAGGGCAACTTACTTTCAATTGATGTTAGTGCTCAGTGGTATATATTACACATGTAATTTTATCTATATATTCAGATTTTATACGTGTAGTATCTGAATGGTCTGCATATAATACATCCTTTTGCTTATTTAGGACTAGGTAGACCTACAGCTTTCTTACTTTTAAATGAACATAAATATCTTTTAAATTTTTTTTTTTCAAAATGAAGGAATTTCAAAGTAAGTCACATTGCCTTACATTTTCTGTGGATTAAGAGCATGTATACAGATAGCCACTGCAATTCAACTGACAGGCAGTAACTTGTTAGATTATCGTAACTTGAGGGTATGTCTGAGCCCTTAATTCTTCTCAAATTAGGGTTGATACCACTGAGTTTACCCACTCTATGTAAAGGCAGTGGGCAAACAGTTTTTATTATAGGCAAATACTCCTTTCCTCTCTCGAGGGGAATACCCATATTTCAAGAATTAACAACTTTTTAACTTTTGCATCTTATTTTCAGTCCTGATTGTAACAGATGGCACTCTGTCCAATGTTACCATATTATCACTTTCCTAAGTGCAGTTTGGGTTAGCTTTTTTTTTTTTTTTTAATAAACCCTCTTTGGGTTAGTGTTGACTTTATGTGTTAAGAAAGAAACCCAAACATATTATTCCACATTTTATCCTCCCCAACTTTAGTAATTATTATGTTACTGTTTCTTGTATCCATCGAAGAAACATATAATGTTGCAAGTTCTGTTTTCACATGGATGATCTACCACAAAAAGGTTTCTTTTAAGCTTGCTGATTCCAGTAGTGACTGTAACTAATCATAGTTCTGAAAAAAAAGTGATAAAATAAATATGAAATAAGTGATAAAGGAAGTCTTTACATTTTGCCCTGTCTTTTGTGTTTTGGTATAATAGGCTGAAAATTCAACTGCTCTGTTTATTGGCAGAAGTTACAGTGATATAGCTGGGACTCGTATTCCGTATTAGCTGAGTTACTGCTATTTAACCATCTTGGATTAACAGAAATTTTAGTTGCTTTTAAGAACCACATCTTTGCATATACTGCCATTGCAATGTAATATTGGTTAATTAAGGGGAAAACGTGTATTCAGACTTACTGCTGAAAATTATGCAGGAGACAGCTTGATATTTTGGGTAATTCTTCTTCAGCACTATCACATTTCCGGAATATGTTGGAACATATGTATAATATGTACATGCTTTCCAGAATCATAAAACAGTGTCCACCTCCTCCCTCCTTTCTGAATACATTGCATCCAATTCACAAAGTGTTTAATTGCATATTTAAGTTTAATCATGTAATCATTTAATGGATGTAAGTACAAGGTTAAGTTTAAAATGCAGCTCCTTGCTGTACTGAAGTGGGACCATTAAGTCTGTGAAAAGAAAGATAGAGTTTATGAAAATGCAAACATGTCTGAGTAACACTAAAAGCAGAGTTCAGCAATGCCCAACGGGCCACTTCTACAATAGCAATTCACTTCTGAAATGTTGGTCTCTGCAGGGAAGATCACTATCATTATAATTAGAGCTAGACTACAATGGACTGCTCACAGTAACTATTCCAAAAAGTTCTTTGAAGGTGAAGATGAGTGGTAGGCATTCTCAGGAAGAGAAAATTGCTTGCTCAAGTAAAAAGGAAAAAAATCAACCAAATAAAACAAATCTTACATAACTAGATGGCTAAAATAAATTTAAAATTTAGCCATCCCTATTTAAAATAAAATCACTGTATTTCCAGCTTGGATATTGCTGGTGGGCATTAAAGAAATATATAATTTATATTTTCATAGAATAGATAATATGTAATTATACTTGAAAATAGATACATATTGTGAGCAAATGACGAGAGACAAAAATATAGTAGCTTCACCTCCAGTAGTCTTGTTCTGTTTTTGCTTTCAAAACTGACAGTTCTTTTTTCTGCAAATTACGAAGGCCTAATTACTAAGAACTGTTTAGCCCTCTTAGGTACATTGATACAAATAGGTATATTGGTATGAAAAATATTTGAAGATGTTCTGATCAGTTTTTTTAATTGTCTGGTTTTTAAATACTTGTCCAGGCTGTCTAAAGATTCGATCAGGCACTTGGCTAAAATTGAAAACCTGATACCAAAAGCACAGTCCTTGATCTTCACACCAAAGCCAGCATACATTGCTGTATTGAAAGGTTTTTATATAGATTTACTGCTTTTCACAAATATCCTAGACTTTGCATACCATGTAGAAGTTGCTGCAGCCTGCTAAAACTATAAACTTCAAACTACAGCTGCAAGAAACAGAGGGGAATCTCTGTGGAAGATTGAGGTGCTCCTGCCAAGAGCATTCAAGTTATGACAAAAAGATTATGACACTGGTTGCTTTTTCTTTAAAATTAACAGTGAAGATCTGGAAAACAGGTCGTAGAACTTAGCTCTGTGAGTAAATAGGAATTATAGAAGTACATTAAGAGAAGGATAGGTAATAATTATGTGAGAGAAGTACCTGTGCCAGCGATAGTCAACCTCACATTATAAAAGTGTGTCCTGATGTTCAGAGGGAGCCTCCTGCGTTTCAGTTTGTGCTCATTGCCTCTGGTCTGCTGAAAAGAGTCTAGCACTGTCCTCTTTGCACATTCCCTTCAAGCATTTATACAAATTGATGAGGTTCCCCTGAGTCTTCTCTTATCCAGCCTGAGCTGTCCCAGCTCTCTCAAACTTTGATCACAGGAGAGAGAGGCTTCAGTTCCTCAGTCATTTGTGGCCCTCCATTGCACTTTCTCCACTTGCTCCACTCTGTCCAATTTGGCAAGTTAAAAGGATATAAAAAATATCTGATATAAATGTGGTCTTCACGCTTTTGATGTGACAGTGGAACATAATAGTACATATCACAGGTGTTTGGAAATATTCAAGTGGATGTAAATGCAGTAACACTTGTTTCTCTCCATGTTGAAATCAGGAATTTATCAGCTAAACATTCTTCTGTATAACAGCCTTGATCTGACTTCTCCACTTTTTTTATATTGCCCCAGGTACCAGCAACTATATGATACTATAAGGCACAGAAACTGTTTTTATTTAATATGTTTGGGGGGGGGGATTCAATTTCTGGATCCTTTATTTCTTAGAAGTTAGTGTTTTGTTTGGAGTTCAGTGATCTAAAGACTACTATTAGATTAGTTAGAATGAAGTTGATTTTCAAAATGCCTAGCTTTTGTCAGTCTAAGCATTATAATGAAGCAGTATGGTATTGCAAATGCTTTGGTGCTGACTTTTGATGTGTGTAGAGGAAATACCATAATTATTTCAGAAAATTATTCCTGAGTAATAAAATTCCATTGATTACACTAAGCAAGCTAGTAAATTCTCTCCTGTTATTATTAAATTGCAGTCAAGATATCAAACAATTGTATGTGTGTACAATTTGATTAGAGGTTTTAATATACTCTGGCAGACATTTATAATACAATTTAAACCTGCGACTGCATGGACCATTTTTTAGAAAATTACAGTCTTTAGGTTTTAACCAAATATCTTCTGCGGTAAATAGGCACATTTAACTTACTCTTTTAAGTTAGTAAAATGCAGTTTGTGGTTTCTTAAAAATTTGCTGTCAGAATACTCAATGTTTTATTGCTTTTTCTCATCTTATTGAATTTATGTGGACTTCAAAGTAGATTGAAATAGATGGGCTATCAAAATTCAGAAGTCATTTAAAAATAATTTAATTTTAAAATACTATTCATAATTTAAGATAGTTTCAGTAGTGGTAGTTAAAGTTTTAATCCTTTTAGAATGAATATTTTTCACTTTCCACCTAAAGGTAACAATGGTTGTCAAAGCTAGAAACATTGCTTAAAGTCCTTACTGAAGTTAATGTGTTGAATGTTGACTAGAGGTATTATCTAGTGTTAAAAAAATATCACTGAAGAAAAAAAAGTTAGCAGAGTTGAAATCCTAGGTTTGATCCTATAAATGACCATGGTGTCAAACAAGCAGAATGATAACTTTGATAGCATTTGAACTTCTGTGGGTGTCTCAGTTCCCAGAAAGTTTCCTTAAGGGAAGTTCATGTATTTGTGACTCCCTCTAGTGGATCTCTTTCTCAACTCTACACTAGGAAATGTTCTCCATGTTAAATTCATGTGACATTAAATATTCAAACGTCCTTGTTTTTGTGGTGTGGATCTGATTCCATTCTCATGGACAGTCTGAATGTGTTTATGTTTACCTCCATTCATTATCACATATTTTGCAATATATTTTTAAAATATTTTTTTCATAATGTGATTGCTGATAATTGTATTCATTTATATGTGCAACTAATGATGATACATTAGCAGATGGAACATTCTGTTTTTTCTGTGCTACAAACCCCTTCTATTTCCCAGACTTTCATTTACGTGACTATATTCCCGAAATGTTTCCAGTTCACCTTGATTGCTATTTAATTATATTTCAGGTACCACCAGGGTAAATCTTGTGAAGATCCCTTCAACTGCTTCCAGTCCCCGAGACACTGCTCTGGCAGCTGTTATATGCAGTGCACTTGCAACAGTGCTCTTGGCTCTCCTCATTCTTTGCGTTATCTATTGTAAGAGGCAGTTTATGGAGAAGAAACCAAGCTGTGAGTTTCCAGTTATTACTGTTTCTTTATAATATTTAGATAGTGGTGTTAGTTTGGCAGATCTCTCTGTAGGTAAATAAATGAAATGTCTTCATCATTCAAGCAAGTTTAGCATTGAGATGATCAAGGTAGCAGAAGCCTAAGACTCCATCCAAGTTTGCCAGCTCAGTGTGGATGTTCCAGCTTCTACCGATAAAATGCTGTGTAGATACCCAGAAATAGTCTAATTGCATCAATTCTGTGCCACACTCTGCTAGATGCTGCACAGGATCTATGCATCACGTGCTATTGTGAAACACAGATTAGGTCATCGAGATAATGGATGTGGCCAGTGTAGATGAGAGATTTGTCACTAACAGTTTGGTTTTTATGGGCATATTCAAGATGAATTAAATGCCTAAGACAGTTAAATTAGTAAATTTTTTTTAAACCCATAACAGCTCATCAATGTAATTTGTTTTTAATAGACATTTTTCTGCCACTTACTTTAAATTAAGAAAAAGTCAAAAGCACTCTAGTTCCCCTTTATAATTTAAAAAAACTTGTATTAAAATATGTTTATAGCATCTAATTAGCCCTGAATGCCAAACAAGGATATTATCTAGGAAGGATTGATGTTATCACTGCTTACAGCACAAGCAAAAATAAAAAGATTGAGAGAGTTATTTGTAAGAATTGTTCCTAACCTAGAAGATGCTTTAGAGTTTTGTGAAATTCAGACATAGTGAATTCAAACTTCAGTTAGTGAAGTGTAGTAACTCGTTTGCCTTGGCCTACAATTATGGTGATTAAAGGAAGTAGTCTGCTGTTAATATAAAGCTCTTTAAGATAACATAAACAAAATCTCAGTGGCTGAAAGCTGAGTGTGGAAAGTTTCAGATGGGAATCACTGAGAATCATTAAGCACTGAAAAACTGTAACACTGAATAAGATATACTCTCAAATCATCAAAATGAGAGCAGATGTCTTCCTAGAAGAGGCTGTAGTTGAACCAGCTGTTCTAGGGTTTCTTGCAAGATCTGTGGCTTGTGTTATATGAAACCACATGATCATTGTGGATCTTTCCATTGGAAAATGTATGGACATATTTTATAGTATGACATTTAAGCATTCTATGAAGATAGAAGGCTCTGAGCAGGAAGAAAGATAACACTTACTGATATGGATTTTTATTTGGTTTGTTCAAAGGGTCTTTGAGATCACAAGACATTCACTACAATGGCTCTGAATTATCATGTTTTGATAGACCACGGCTAAATGAATATGACCACAGAACATGTTGCCAGTGCCAGAGAAGCACATCACAGACATGTGGTATGTTAGGTCCACTAAAAGGTGACTTTATTTATCTAATACTTGAGTTGTGACATTTGACTTTAACTACAGAGTCAAACTACCCTTTGTCCTAGGCTAATTTCCCAGTAAGCAGATAGGACTTTTAAGTAGCTATTTGGGGTTTTTTTATTGTTGTTTTTTCCTGTTTTCATTCCAGTGACTTCACCTAAAAAAACCTTTAAATGCCTACATCATTTCTTTCTGATAAAAATAGCACTGCATCTGGCTTTGAGACTTAAATTAGTATGAAGGATTTACCAGCCAGTATCTAAGAATGTGATATGAATGCTAAAGACATTAACAACCTCAACAATTAAAGTCATTGCCATTTTGTGAAGTTGTATCAAAACAGATGCAATTGTGACATTAAGAAATACATAATTTAACACAAGAGCACAGGCTTAAATATCATCCTAATAGGTTAACTCAGAATGCTTCCTCTCAAGTGTATTCAGTTGAAAAGCAAATTAATTAAAAAAATTAGATAGTCATGACTGGCATCTGTATTACTCCTGAAGGAAGGACAGGGCTTTCTTTTATAAGTAATTCAATTTTAAAGGAATAGAGAACCCATTCCTTGCAGTAAGAAATCTTTCCTCAATCCATGTATTATAATGTAACTGGCAAACTAATACTCAAGTTTGAAAGAGAACAGAGACTAAGTTTATACAGAGCTTTAACAGTTTTAACATTTTCATTCCTTAGGACCAGTTCACTTGATTCCATCCCTGTGCTGTGATGAAACCTGTAGCATGGGTCACAGCTGTGCTTTCCACTCACAGACCACACTTAATGAAAGGTAACTTAGTTTTACAAATGTCTATTAAACATTAAGTATTGTTTTATGCAGTCAAAGTAATATTTATACAGATACAATGGCTGTTTGAAGTGGAATGAGGGATTTTGATGAACTGTAGCCATATCACCCCATGTTGTGCAAGAACAGGTTTATAGTGAAAACTTTAAATATTACTTTGCAAACGCTGACTTGATACATGGGTTTCTGCAAAGAAGTGACTTCTCTCATGAGCACATAGTCTTCCTTTTAATCTCTGGCACCTTAGAGGCTTTAGTGACCCTCTCTTCTGCTATTGATTAGCAAGCTGCTGCATAGACTCATGAATCTGGGGGTATTGACAATTCAGAAGTGTCATGAAGATATTTTTTTTTAATTTAGGAACTCTTTAGACTTTCACATTTGAAATATCTATTATTTCTGAGTTTCTAGCAGATTATAACTTTAATTTTCTCCTGATCCGCTGAATATAAATACAGTAGTAGAGTAGTTATTTCTACAGCAGTACCATGAGCTAAATACATAAAATTTATGGTGTCCTTCAGAATTTCCTTCCTTTCAGAGTTACAGATTTTAACACAGGATGTATTTATTTCTTTTAGCTAGAATAATTTTCCATATAGGGTTAAATTGGTCTTCAGCTGTTTTGTTCTTATGGCCACATGTAACTGAAAATGTAGAGGCAGCTTCTTCATAAGTACTGTTTATGTAAGGTGACCTAGTGACCTAAGTATAAGATACAAAATATCTAAATTTTCTATAACAACTTGTTTAAATACTGACAAGCTTGAGTCATCCTTATATACCACCAAGGCTGACAAATGGAGAGTTGTGTACTTTTTGAGGAATCTTTTGGTTAAGGTTTTAAAAATAACTGTAATATCCATGTAATGTGGACATCAAAGATCCTGTGGTTCCTTCCAGTAGAAATGGAGTTTATGCCAATTTCCTTTGCCAGAATACTGTATTTCCTTCAATTGTGGGGCAGTGTCCTGACTTTTGGCCTCCTTTCTGAAAATACTTCGTGTGCATATTAAAGCTATTAAAGCATCATGTTTTGGAAATGACTAAGGCTACTCAAAATCTCTTATAGGCATGTTAATGTGGGATGAGTTTTGTCACAATAATTATTACTGCATATCAGTCTTAATATAGTCTTTACATTTTTATAAATCTGTTGACAGTTTTTGGAAATAAAACATATGTATAACTTTTGGGTTTGGTAATACTTCTTTTGGTGTATATATAATGAAAAACAGTACTGGACTTTCAACAGAGTTTGGCAGATGTCAGTATTATCATGCACGTTAAATACACTTGAGGTAGATAATATTGAGTTTCTACTTCTACTTTCTTCCATTTTCCATAAAATAAAAATAATGTTTGCCCTTCTTTAATTTTATGTCCTTTCCACAGGAAAAAGAATAGGAGAAAAACTTTTCACATTTTGAAGCCTAGACAGAACAAACTGAAAAATCTGAAGTGAATGCATAGTCAAGTTTAAAGCAAACACAAAGTTTCAAGCAGTCTCGTTGTCTGTTCCCTTCTCCCACTTTATTTCTGTTACTTCTGTTAGATATTTGTCTAGCCTGGTTTTTTTATTGGGGGGGGGGGAGAAGGAACAAAAAAAAAAAACACCAAAAAAACCCCTAGTGTTGAAGATTCTAGATTCTACCCAACCATCTTTCTTGATGTACTTTAAACCTGTTTATCTTGTCTTAGTACCCCACCTTCCCATGCACTGAAAAAAAATAAATTCCTTCTTCTTTCCAGCAGTGTTTATATCTGAACACTACTATGGTATTTTTTGGTCATATTTCTGACTGTAAAACAGCTGTAGAACCTGTTTTCTGGAACCCTGGATTCACTGTCTGAAGTGCTCTGGGCATGATGTTTACCTTTAGTAGTGTTCACCAGAGCTTTTGTCATTTCGAGACAAGGAACAAACTGTATTCCTTTTCAAATGAATGAATGTCTCTAGAGTATTTAATACAACCCTGTTAAACCTTCTTGAAATACTGGCAATTGCTAATGATAATAATTACAATACTGACAATATTTTCTGGAATGCTTTGTAAACCATATGTCTATTATCCTTTCACAGAGCTGCTGATTCTGTTGGAGAAATGATTCCTGCTTTCCTTGGTTCTCTTTCACACTCTGCCTGTGGAGACATTCCAGATGCTTGGCCTCTTATGCAAAACTCAGCTTGTTGTGACAGTATTTCTATCTGTGAATCATATTCAGAACTGGCTGGAGGATCTGCAAAATCCTGCAGCCCTGAGACTGAAAATGCAGCCACTGTTGAGTTGGATAATAACCGGGAAATAAGTGAAGTACTTATTTCAGCTAAGTCTCTTGATGGAAATGTTGCAAAGTCCTTTGAAATCTCCAAACACAGCACATGCATAGAAGTTTCATCACTTCAGAACTTGGTGACTGCTGAAACCCAGCCAAAGACAAAGTGTAATGGAACAACAAATGACTCTACAGATTGATAAGGAGGTAAAAAACATAACTACAAAGGAGTGAGAATGAGTGCTCCAGGCATATAGAGCTAGATAAAAATAGAATTGTAAAAAGTTGTAGGGTTATATTTCTCCATAGGTTACACCTAGCTATTGCTGATATAAATTAAGCCTCTGCAAGAGATCCAGCATTTTAAAATTGTTAACTGAATTTGAAAGGTGTAATTATGCAAACTCTGCTGTTGAAATAATATGAACCAGAATACAGGGGTAAATCAGTACACTGGTCAGCTTTTGTCAGGGGATTTTTTCATTAAATTTCAGGGGAAAAAATGAGTTTAATAGCCATATGACCAAACTGTTATGTGAGTCTAGTCTTCGTTTATGAGAGAGAGCTGAGGAATTGTCTTTGCTTGTTGTAAACAAAGCATAAAAGACATGCAAGTGTTCATCTAAAAATATTTACAAAGCCTTTCTGTGGAGTCACTACAGCAGGATTAGAAACAGAAGAGAATTTCAAATGCTTTTAATGCCATTCATATTCCCATGTCACCAGATGAAATATAAGTTTGTCCATAAAATACAATTTAGTCAATGAAAGCTCAGAGAAAATGCAGGTCTGAGGTCAAAATGAGAAGAGGTGATAAAACAATTGTCGCTACTATGTAACAATGGAACCATCACAAAAAGTCACTCTGCTACTGGTTCATCATTATATCTTTCTGAATATTAGCTGTGCTCTGTATTTTTAAAATGGAATTTTCTGCTATTGTAAGTAAATTGGAACATCAAGTAACTAATCTGTGAAAGGATCCCAAATTATGGCATGTTGTTACTCCAGGGTTATGCAGGCTGTGGCTGGAAAGCTGAAACGCCTTCCTGTGTATGTACACAGAGACAGGAACACAAGCAATTGCCATTAATATTAATAATCCACCAAAGTTAATTAAGAAAATGATGCTATCTGTAATTATGAAAACTTTGGGTCATCTGCAGAAATAAAACTGCCTTCCTTTGATCCTCTTCCATTTGGTTTGCCTGCCACTTTCTTATTGTTCCTAAACATGAAGTAGAAAGTAATTAGTATTTAGCAAAAAATATGCATATTCTGAAGACATGTAAGAGCAATAGTTATTTCTTTGTAAATCACACCTTAACTGTTTAGGTAACATTGTCAAGAGAAGGAAAGGGAAGTGAACAGACTGCTAAGTCAAGAGCTGTTTTGCCATTAACTTCAAAGGACGTTGTATGTCACCCTGAAAATCTACTGCTGTCACTGAAAATGTCAGCCTTATCTGGCTTGCACATATTTTTCTCAATGTATTATTTACAATATATAGTTTTGTCTGTAACAATGCTTGGCACTGACTGCCCGTGTCTTATATAGCAATTATCATAGTTTTATTTTGGTATATGTCAAATATCATTAGGTGATATATATAGGTCATATTCTGTAGGTATGTGTAGGAAGGGACAGTGTCATGGCTCCAACTGCAGATCTTGATGCTGCTAGTTCCCAGGATTCATGATGTCTCAAGGGACTATATTTCCATACTAACAAGATTTAAAAAAATCAAAAGTTTCTGGGTGTTTTCCCACTAAACCACATATCAACTTCAGAGGTGTGCAATTAATATTATTTAAGAGTTTTTCTAGATGAATGGAACTATGGAATTTCAAAATATTAATATAAAAATTAGCTTATATTTCGCCATAGTTGTTATAGTATATGAATTGTAAATTTTACTATCAATTCCTATGTGTATGGAGACATCTTTTCTAGCATCCCAAAATCCTGTATTCTTTGATGGTTTTGTACTATCCTGTATTACTACTGAGATTTGTGTATAATTTTGAATAATCAAGGTCTTCAGAAGGGTTAAGTTTTTCTTCATTTTTATTCTTTCTTAGACATTGCTGATTCATTTTGTACAATTTCTCCATATTCAGACTCTGTAGTGGATCATTATCTATGCATTTTTGGTGGAGAAATTTAAGTAGCGTTTGAAGGACAGAACCAGGATTTAGGCTTACCTGAGATGTATTTTCAGGCTTAATGGTAGCCAGTTGTACGACTCCAAGAAAATTATTTCATCTCAGTCTGCACCATTTTTTCCCATTTGCCTTCCATCTTTCATGTCTTGAAATATTTTGAGGGAAGGATGGTCTTTTTAGTGCCTGTGGATGCATTAGAGTCTTGCATAGGTCCATACTTTATTATTATATTGCAAAAGAAATAATAACATGATAAAATCAGAATATAGCATATTTTTATATACATACATGCAAACATAAGCTTTTTAATAGATATTTTAATACAGATTTAGTCTTCAGGTTTATGTGAATTTTACAGCAAGCAGTAAGTATACCTCTACTTTTTAGTGTTTAGTCAAACATAGAAGTACATACTGGTTTTTTACTAATTTATGTAATCACTCTTCTATCATTTTCTTTTAGGAACCCAAGCTTTTTCTCTCAGAACTAAAGCTGAATGTTTCCCTCATGCTCCTCTGCTGATTTTCATCAAACATAGTCTGGTCTTCAGTGTTGCATGCTTTCAAAACCAGCTGGAAAAAAATGGCATCACTTCACACCTTCTGAGCAATTGTTTTGGAGGTGTAACAGCTGTAAAGTGAAACTTCAAAGAGCATCCTAGGAGAACCCTCAAAGTGGATTTATGACCTTCTGCATCTCTTCTTTTCCCTCAGATTCTCAAAACATGTAGTGGAGTGAGCTTAGTAGTGTATATAAATACAGCAAAAATATAAATACTTGAGTGTGATTAGGTGGGTCTCTTAAATATGGCTACAGATGTCAGAAGGCGTGGGACAAGATGTTGCCAGTTATTCTACTTGCAGATTTATGCATGCATTAAAATTCTTTTTTCTGCTGGTTCTAATTTTAAATCATCTTCCTGCTCTTGAAGGACGTAAAAAGTAAACATTTCTATTTATGCAAGGGTTATCTATTGATAAACTGAAGCTTTTATTATATATTACATTATAGTCAATAAGCTATTTTGGGGAGTTAAAGAATTAGTGTGTTACGGTATGTACAGTTAAAGTCCCCTTCATCCAATTATTACATTTATGGGAAGTCACATTGTTCTGTTAAATATAGCAGGAGATTAGCTTTAAATTAGTTTTAGTTTAATGAAGGTCAGACATATAGATAGGGATGTTGTGTTTAATTGGTAGTCTCAGTATTTGAATACAGCACTTGTTGTTATAGCACATAATTTTTGGATGTTGAAATAAATGTAATCAACTGTCACATCAAAATTTCCAACGATAGCAGGTGCGCCATGAAAGTATTAATACAGTGAGACTGTTAATAAGACTTTTTATTAATGCATTCTTTTTAAAGGTCAAGCTTCATGGTGACCTAATTCGTTCATTTAGGAGTCCTTATTTCATTCATGGCACTCTGTCCTTCTCACTGTAGTATTGTGTCAATTCAAATTTTCCACACTAAATATAAAACCTAATTCATAACTTTTTTTTAAAAAATACCTCTGAATTAAATCCTCAAAGTTGTGTGTATGCCTAGTAAATTATCAACTCTCTGCAGCCAGTGCTGTACTTCTAAGATTTTTTTAACAGCTATTTGTCATACCACATCACATAATACCATTTTTTGCAACCATTTTTATCCTTAAGGTAGTTTTTGCTTCTGTGGGTAATCCCAGTAACCTCTACTGGTTCATTACATTCAACAGGCTCAAACTTGCCAGTGATGAACTCTAGCAATTATTCCTTTCAAATACCCAGTGTACCTTGACAAAAGTAAAGCAATCAGCAAAACAGATGCAAATTTGCAATAAATATTACTCATCTTTCCACACATGGTTTGTGTGGCAATGGAAATGTTGAGACAGTATTCATAACCCATTATGGAGAAAGACTTTTGCTTTGAAGCACACAGTAGAAAGTTGGACCTGCACAGGAATAGCTAAAGCCAGTACAGGCAGCCATGGCAGGGAGATGCTTCAGCTCTTCGCCCGTGAGATTATTCATGTGTGCAAAGGTCATGAATAACAGTTATCAAGTGCAAACCAAAGTAAGTGAAGAAGTTACATGATTTTTTTGTTGTTGTTTGGTTTGGTTTTTTAAGTAGTGAATACCATCATTTGGTCGCCAATGGAATAATGTGCAGTTATACAGTACAATTACTCAGCTAATTACTTTCAAGTATATATTTAAATACAAGTAGTTTTGAATAATTTCTTCGTAGACTTTCATACATTAAAGAAATTACAAAACATTATTTTTCACTATATGTGCATGAAGAGATGTGTGCTTCTTTGTATATACTTTGTAAATAAAAAAATCCAACGTGCATTTCAGTATATGGCAAAATATTTTTAGAACATACAGAGATTTCACTTTTCACTAATAACAGTTCTTTAAAAAGCTATGTTCAAAAGTTTTGCCAGCATCTGCCACAGTATGTTTTCCCATTGGAATTTAAACTTTGTATAATTGCTTTTGTCCAGCAACTCTAGAGAAAGATACTCATTTTTTTAAATGAGTGACAGATAGCCTTAAAGCAAATTGGGAGGAAAAAAATTAAGAGAGTCTTTTTAAATATATGTGTATATTATGTATATACTTTTTTCCTTAATTTAACCAAATTGGTCTTTTGTATATTGCCTGTGGCAAGCAATGTTGTACATGCCAATAGAAAACATACACTATCATTGCATTTAGACTGCCCACATATCACATCTAGGGACTTACAGTGCTGTTTTAAATACTCCTTAAACAAATGTAAATGAAAATCTTGTATAAATTGTTTTGTAATACTTTTTCTACTTGTGAATAAAATGTTACATGAACCAGTCTTGGTCTGTTGATCTCAAATTAATAATAGCATTTTACGCAAAGCTAGTGATCATTTCTTTTATTGTTTTTAGAATTCCATAATGGTGTAATTGTATTAAAGTTATGGTAGAATTTGGTACATCTTTGTCTTGAGGTGCTTGCTGTTTAAGAGTAGGATCATTCTTCAAGCTGGAGGACTGTAAGCACCACAGATTGCTGTCTGTGTAATGTCTTTGAAAACAGAACCCAGTGCTCATGCAGCAGGCTGTTTCAGACAAGACAGATAAGTAAATAATGAGAGTAGCTGTATTTTTGAAACAGGAAAGGAATCATGGCCCTGGATCAGGACCAACAGAGCCAGCATTTGTGTTGCACTGCAGCTGCAGCCAAGAGTGGTTTCAAACCTTGGCTGAAGTAAGAGTGAATTAGAGAAAACTGATACAGAAGACTAATTACCTGTGATTATTTAGGCCATTTTTCAAACATTGTCCAGAAGGTTTACATGAAAAGATTCAGGACAATGTTACTCAAATGGTTTGCTGTACAATTTAAATGATTAGGAAAGGGATGGCATCATCTGACTGACAAGAGTAGAAGACTGAGAAGAAAGAATAATTTGATAATTGCATATAATTACATGACTTCTGGGAACTGAATCCAGATAAGGATGATAGGTAACATAAAGCAAGGGTGGTTGTGCTGGAGTCTGTTAGCACTATTGGTTTTGGGGGGAAAGTTTGGGGAAGACTGAAAGCTGCTCTGTCCCTGTTGCTAGTTTAGTCTAGCAAATTTCACATTGCTGCTCCTCTGTGTATTGCTGTCATTTTTACAGTCTTTTAAGTATGTAATTCAGAGCTTAACTGGGGATCACCTTCCCAAAATAGCAAGGACTCCTTATACCCCGGTGCCATGTGCTGCACTCCTGAGTAGTCTTCTATTTGTTTTCTGCTGTGACTGTCAAAAATGGCAGCAGTCCACATCCCAAGCCCACCTCATCATCCTTTTGGTTCACCTGAAATCTTGCAAGTCAGCACAGCAGCACATGTCATGTTTGGGAGTTTACTTTATGTCAATACAAGTAGCTTCGTGACTCTCAGCACTGCTAGGATGGCAATGGAGTGCCCTGAAAAAAATTAAAAAAAAAACCAACAAGAAATAAACAGGAATTGAAAAACAGGTATTTATTCTATTTTAACTGGAAGCAAAGTACAGCTCAAAACACATTACATATATGACCACATAAGTTGCACAGACATTTGCTCATATCAGCTACTATATAAATGCAATTTTCTAGCGAAGGAACTTTCTAAAAGGTCTACAAAAAAAAACTGGAACACCCATCCCAAAATCTTTTCCCTGCGTTGTTATTCAGTACAACAGTGTTTCCTGCCTTTTTTACAAGGTAGAGCAGGCTCTTAATCCAGTGCTCCTCATCCTACCAGGAGTTTGAGATCACGTGGCTTTTCCCTTTGTTGTGGGCTCTTTGAGGGCCTTTGGTTTGCATTCCTATGAAGTCCCTCCAAGCAACAACGTTCATGCATTAAATTAATCCTCTCCCTGACTTTGGTGATGGAGGTTTAGATCGCTACCTGCAGCACATTCCAGCACAGACACTGCTGCTTTGTTTGGCCCTTTTAAAGAAGGAGTATTGAAGGAGCGTTCAGTGTTTTATCAGGCATGGAGCAAGCTGAGGCTGGGCACTGTGGAGCAAAGCCACACAATGCGCACTTTGTGCTGGCAGGGTGCAATTTAATCCATATTTAGTTTTGGCATGAGTGATGGTAAAACCCACTTGCTCTTCACATTACATGAGCCATTTTGATTATGTCTGATAAAGGTGCTTTCAATAGGGTAAAAATAATAGCGGATGGATTTGCTAGGGAGCCTGCTGCTTTCCACAACAGCAGTGAATGATGGGATTAGAGGAAATGTTTTCTAATAGCATACTGATAGAGAAAATGGCAGATTGGGGGCACACCGAGGCTTCTAGCAAGCACCACAGCTTCAACCACAGGGTCAGCTGAGTAAGACAGTGGTTTTTCCCATCATTTGATTTTCTAAATCCTTATCACAGTTGAATATTTTTTTAATTTTTTTTTTGCCTACCTGACAAAGGGAGATTTGGCTTGTTCAAAAGGTTATAAATGACATTTTTCTAAAGCATTGGTGGACAAGCAGACAAAAAAAGAAGGCGGTTTTTAGAAAGTGCTTACCCCGAGCCTCAGTCTTTGTGGAGTTTTCCATTTCTTCTGCCCAGTCTCAGTTTGGGGATGGACAATTCACATGCTATTTAGTATGCAAAAATTCCCCTTAGTATAGCAGATAATATACCAAAAGCTAGTTTGTAACTAGCAGTTTAAGGGAGAGCACTGATTTAAAACTTGGAAAAAATTAAACCATCAGAATTCAAGAAATCTTGATTTGTCCCAGATCTATATCAGACAGTTCATTGGAACATAATGATAAACATACATAAATACAGAATGTGTATGTGTGCCTGAAGATATATTCTACATTAGAATAAAATAATAAACTAGTCCCCTTGCACATGACCTGAGGCAGGGCATTGTCCACGTCAGTTGGTATTTTTATTCCCAAATTCTTAAACATAAGGAAATTACAGAACACTGTGGACCAATTCAGGTGAGACCTATATACTATACAAGCATTTGTTCTGCATGTGGCAGAGTTTACAAAATGAATTGAGAACTTTTTAAAAAATATCAAAGGCTTTGTTTCAATTTTTTAAAATGCCTTTCAGCCCAGGAATCCAAGTGCCCTAAACATTTCACAGGTTCACATACAGGAGCCTTAGAAAAAAAAAATTACTACAAAGACCTACAGCCCTTATGCTACGGTTCCCTTCCAGGATTTTTAGAGCTGCAATTTCTTGCTCTTCAATAGCACCATACTGGAATATTCACTGAGTGAATGCAACTTCTCTGCTGGGAGAAGTGCATGCATGTCTGTAAAAGGGATGTTTAAGAGAACAATATTGAACAAAACAGGAACAGGAGAGGTTATTATGAAAATAAGAATAATGAGAAAAGTATATCTAGCTTTAAGTGCAACAAAAAAAGAGCAAAAAAGGGCCATTACATTGCCAAAGTAAAGCTCTAGTTTACAGGCACCTTCTCTAACTTCATGTTCGCTTAAACACACATCAACTCTGCACCTGTCCAAAGCCAAACCAGGAAGATCTGGAATCAGCACAGCAACAGTGTTTACTGCACCAATTTTGTCCATATGTTGCCTATGTGCTTTCTTGTATATTTATGTTTATTCCTGCAAGATATGGTAGCTGACTTTAACCCGAGGAAATTCAACAGCAATGCCCATTTGTTTGGCCATTTGTTGTCTCTCTGTTGCAAGAGAAAAGAGAAAGTTCTTTACCATCCTGGTATTGTTTTATGTTGTTAGATACAACAATAGCTGTGTTCCTTTATCATAGCTTCAGCTTTATTAAACCTTATTCCTGAGGATGTTCAACAATTAAAGTTAAGGGGACACTGCACTTGTGCAAAAATGAGAATTTCTTTCTGACTGAGATACTAAAACACAACCATAATATTCCAGCAAATAACACTTTGTTTGATGAATTTTGTCAAAATTCATCACATTTTTTTGATATTTTGAGACTAAAAATAGTCAAAAATCCTTGACTGAAAAAATTTACA